ATGTCTATGTCTTATATCTTGAGATATAGATTTCATGTGGTTTTTAAGTTTACATATTTAATTATTAACATGAATCGGAGACACAATTGTGAAAAGAACATAAAACTTATATAAGTTGTAGGTATATATCGTCGCTTTGGTGGTGAAGAGAGCCAAGCCACAACTTTGTACAAAATGAAATAAGTATACTATTCGAATCAAAACAATGTGATTTTTACAGTGGTGAATAGAGCGAACTGACTGTAGTTAAGGTAAAAAAAATAATCAAAAAGGTGAAAAGATGTTAACATAAATACCATACATTTCTTTATGGTATAAAGAGGAATACAATCCGCATAGCTTAGTTAACTTCTGGAAATAGGACAGTGTTTTTAATCAGTAGTGAAGAAAGTCAAGCCGCTTATATCACTAGTTTTTAAACGAAGTCAACGTATCCCTGCATTTAAAAGCGCTATTTTGTATGGCTTGACATCTGTCGTGATCTTATTGAGATTCATATTTATTTATTTGGTTATTTTGCATAATGTGTGTGTTTTACTGTTGTTATAAAAAATATGTCGTACAACACGTTAACCATTTCTGGTGTACAAAATGATGGAAATTTAAAAACATTCATATTCATATTATTTATTGCATCCATAATTTTGCAGTTAATGTGTTGAAAACATTTTAAGTTTTTACTTAAAACTACGAGATCATTATGGGCCCTGCAGGGCACGGCAGAGGAGGGCCGTTTTTAATGAAACAATAATGATGAATACACTATATAATATAGCAACTGTAGGTATTCTAGGTAGGCATTTAAAATTTGCTTTTGTGTGTTTGTGTGTTTACAATGTGTTTACAAATTAAAAATTCCTTTACTAGTTTATTTATAAAATTAGTAAGTTTTTCCATTTTTTTATCGAGTTTGGGAGTTTGTTAACAATTGTGATGGACATGACAAAGGGATCTGATGAATGTAGTTTAAGACAAGATATGAGTATGGTCAGTTTTTCGTTATGGCGTTATTGGTATCTGGTATTACTTTCTCCTCGTTTGATTTAAAATTCTGGGTACTTTTTAATGAATTTGCAGATTTCCAAGATATAAATGCACGGTACGGTAAGTATTTTATGTTTGACGAAGTATGGTTTGCAGCTATCAGTATTTTGTGTATTAAATATTATTCGTATTAGTTTATTTTTGTAGGGTTAAAAGATCAGAAACGTCTGTGTTATTTCCCCATATGATAACCCCGTAGCAGAGCCACGAAATAAAAAAACACTGAGACTTGAAAGTAAAGAACATGTTTCTCAGTCAGGTAAAAAAGGTGAGAGAAAAAGCTGTTAAGGGATTTCCCTGTAGGTATCATTACAAATGCAATGATACATTTAATTTGAATGATAGACAGAACATTTTTTAGGGTTTTTGACTTTAAAGCCCATTTGGCTCTATCATCTTGATAGAGTCAAATGGGCTTTTATAAACCGCTCAGTCAGTAAAGAGCTACCAAAAAGAAGTTACAAGTCGAAATGCTCTAGTTCTCTAGTTCAGTGGCAGCTGATGTTCCTGATAAGAGAAATTATACTCATGTTTATACTTTGACATTTTTGATTGAACCCTGCATCAAATAAAATTTCTGAAGAACAAAAGAATATTATTCGTGATCACATCAAGTCCTAACCTGTAGTAGACTCTCACTACTGCCGAAGTTCATCTAAGTGGAAATATCTGCCATCTGGCCTGACTGAAAATCGCTTGTATCAAGACTATATCAAATATTGTGAAGAGAACGGACCATTACCTGTATCATCTTATTATTATAAACATATTTTTACTACTGAGTTCAATTATGGATTCCATAGGCCAAAAAAGACCATTGTGATTATTGCGCTCAATTTAAAAACAAATCACCAGAAGAGAAACTCCAAGAACGAAGTAATTACGACTTACATTTAATAAGAAAAACAGAAACTAGAGAATAGAAAAGAGAAGACAAGGCGAGAGGTAAGACTGCTCTAACGTTTTGTGCTTACACTATGGATTTAAAAAAAATCTTCCTTACCCTACAGTTAGAGATTAGTCAATTGTATTATAAAAGAAATTAAAAACATAATTTTACCAGTTATGACCTTGCTTAAGGCACCGCAATTAACTACATGTAGCATGAAACCAGTGGTACAAATGGAGCATCTGAGAGCCACTGAACATCTGAGCCACATGTATTTGGAAACTCCTTTCTGAACTACCACCAGAGGTGACAGAAGTAATATTTTACTCTGATACTGCTTTAGGACAAAACAAAAACCATATCATTTCTGCTACGTACATTAGAGCACTCTCTTCATTTCCAAATCTGAAGATTATCAACCAAAAGTACATGGAGTCTGGATATTCCGAAATGAAATGTGAGTGTTCACTCTGCCATTGAATAATGGGGTACAAAGTTTGATATTTTTGTCTTAGATGGATGGTAGACTTTAGCAAGAACAGCGAAGACCACTCGACCATCATATATCGTAAAATAGATGAATTTTAGCCAATTTCTTGATTTTAAGTCGTAAAGCCAGTAGTAGTTGACAGTAGCCTAATGGCAGGGCGCGGACCGCGAACTCAAAAAGGTCGTGGGTTCGAATCCGCCATTCGACTACTGGCGTGATCCACTCGTAACACAAGCAATTTAAGCTTAATACGAGTGGTTAAGGGAAATATTAGTAATGTATGTACTGTATTAAATGCATTGTTAATATTCTTTAAAAAAAATACAAATAAAAGTAAAGGAGAGAGTGGCATCATGAAATGGCTTCTTGTTAAATGGCTGCAATATAGACGTGAAGTTAAGCCAAATTGAATTTGAACGACTATGTATTCGCCTCAGATCAACTCGAAATGATGAAGAAATACTTGCCACTGAAGTAGCTAATCTTTATAAGTGTAGCTTAAAAATAGATACCAAAAAACTTAAAGACTTACAAGATCTTTGTAAAAAAGGTACAATTCCTACCTCTTATCATGAATTTTACGTGAATCTTATTGCTTCAAGTCAGGATGTTGATATTATAGAAGATTATTGATTTTTTTAATGAAGATTTTTAACAAATAATTACTAATTTTATTATTTATACTATAACAATATTTAAAATAACCCTATTATTCTTTTTTTTGTCTACCAACTACCAACCAACCCTGCTGCTAACAAGTATTTGAATAAATTAGTAGATCTATAACACTTACATCTTTTCACCTCCCTATTTATTAGTAGATCATTTTCAAAATATCTAAATGGTGAAAAGAGCCAAGTACAAAATAGCGATTAACAGAAAAACTAGTTAAATTACAAAAACTATAAATATACGAAAAACCCAAGAAGCATGTTTAGCTAAACCAATGCCATTTTTATTAAAATCTAACTTACGGTTTAGAAGGTATAGACTAATAAATATTTTTTGTTTAACCTCGCCACTTAATTGCTCATTATTTCGGAACTTGATATGTGTGGGTTGACTCTCTTCACTACCAAAGCGACGATATACCTACCATTAGCCCAATTTGATTCGTTTCAGCGTACCTAATAACTGAATTTATAGATAAGAATAATGCATTTTTGTCACAAGGATACCTACATGAATACATTTACAGTTATATTACAAATATTAGGACGTTAAAGTGACAACGGAAAAATGATTTTAACGACACCTCATTTACTGCTCAATACTAAGCTCAAAATCGTATTACTTAGTAAACTTACTACAGACGGATAGATGGCGGTAATATGTACAAAGTAAAAAATATTTAATTTACACCTTCCACAATATTTATTTCATAATCATCACCACAGTTTATCGACATCCACTGATGAACACAACTTCTCCCGTAGACAGCCTCTAACATATCTTCTTTATTTTCAATATTAAGTAACAATAAGTAAAAACGATGAATATAATGCAGGTAGATACGTACATAAATACATAAACTCTCACGCCTATTACCCAAAGGTGTAGGCAGAAAATTTTTGCTTTGTCACTTTCCTTATTCATTCTTTCTACGTGTCCAAACCACCGAAGCATTCTTTTCTTAACCCTAGTAGGTACCTAACAACATTTTGCAAACCACACTATTCGCTTCTATCATGCAATTTTTGATCCTAACATTCAGTCAGCCCTAACATACTTCATAATAACTGCCTTTTTTGCTGCATAAATATTATTACGTTTCTTCTACCACACCTTACTTTCACTACACTAACGCAGGGTTAGTAGCTCCTGTCATCCTGTCCTACATTCACTCGTCGTGTCTACTGTTTTTCGTTATCCTTGTATCTATGTTTACCTTCCTTGCCAAGTGCCAACTCACACATCCTAAATACACAAACCCATCCGCTTGCTCAATCTTTCTCGTTTTGTAAACACACTAATAAATTTTACAATGAAGCAGAAGTTTGTAGATAAGTATTTAATTAGGTATACTTATATCCATTGATTTATTATATTACACTAACTCAATGCTTATATTATCATCAATCAACAACAGCGAAGTAGCGAGGTGAAGAGCTGAAGAGTGAACGGAGGGGGCAGTGATACGAATACGATACGAATGCAGCCGGCAGAACGCGAATGGAATCGAGTCGCGACGTGACGCTTCGCAAGTCATCGTAATAGTTTGTGTTTTACGACGACGCCCGATCGACCGAGGCCTGTTTAACCTTTTTACTTTTATTTCATTATATAATGAAAGCATCATTAATGTCGTGTGTAAAATGTTTGAAACATAAACAATAAACGCGGTTTATTGGGTAAATATGTGTACAAATCAGTGAAAATGGAAAGTTCTGTGTATAACAAGGGACTAGTTTCGTGACACTTCGTGTACGTTCGTAAACACTCGGAATTTAATGAACTGCAAAGTTGTGCGTGCAGAAGCGATTAATTCTTACATTATTTACTTTATTTTATTATGTACGTAAATTGATAACTGCTTTTGTTGTGAATGTAATTAATGCCAATAAGTTAATAGAGGCAATGGCTTCGGCAGAAAAAAACGCCCAAATTAGTTTAGCGTTATGCGGTAAAAAAAAGAAATTGTTGGAAGAGATTCATCCATTACATATTATTCGTGAGGTTCAGAAATGGCCCGGATTATACGTAAAAAACAGTCCGGAACAGACCAACGTCAATTTAAAACACAAAATGTGGATTGGAATCGCTAAAGCTCTATTCAACGACTGGGATAAGTTTAGCGCCGATGAAAAAGAATGTAAAGGTCGGTGTGTAATATGTATCATTATTATTCCAACCCATGGGTAAGGTTTACAATTCGGTTGCCTGAATTAGGGGGTGGGGGTGGTGTGGGAAGAGTTGTAGAGTCGCCCCCTACATCCCCTTCCTGCCGGACGTCCTTAGATTTTTTTTATAATTTTTTAAAAATCTCATTTTGAGGTTATGTTTCGTAATTTTTATGACAATTTTAACCTGATTTATGGGGAGAGAGAGTTGGGGGATGGAAGCCCCACGCCACTTAACGTGGTGCAGTAGAGGGAAGATCAGTCGACGGAGCCCCGCTTCCACTCAAACTCTTTTTGTAAACCATTCAGAAGTAGGAGCCCCGCTTCGCGGAGCTCTTACTTCTGAGTGGTTTACAAAAAAATAACCACGAAGGGGATGACGGGGTCTATACACTCGCTTCGCTCGCTCACTCGACCCCGTCATCCCCTTCTAACCTAACTTGTCCGAGTCGGGGTACCCACGTCCCAGGCTCGCTTCGCTCGCTATTGCACCCAATATAACACCAAAATATTAACTTTTATAACTACTTTAATTTATTAACATAATTTATGGCTACCACTATTTGTAAGAAAGGATCTTTGCGATATTTAGCAGTATTCCGCCGCCAAAAATATTCCACTATTCACCAAAATTATGAAATTCTGAAGCAACGGCATGACGAGAAGCTGTCAACAAAATGGCCGGCCTAGCGATTAATTTTACAGATTTTTAAATCGATTCAAATCGAAATTGGATGAATCGATTCACAAAAAATCGATTTCGCAAAAATCGATCTTTTTTTGATTTGCATTAAAAGTTTATATTTACAATATCAAAAGATACAACATAGTAAAGATAGCATTGAATGGTTTAATTAAGAACTGTCATTCTTTACGAATGTATCCCACATTCAACTCATTTTAAATAATTTTATAAATCTTAATAAAACAGAAAAAGATTCGATGTCGATTCTCTAGGGTAAAATATCGATTCACTAGATCGTTTCAGTACTATATATCGATATGACATTGACAGATGAAACGTCAAAAACGTAATTAATTAGTCATTTACCAATATTTTTAAAAAATATTAAAAAATACTTCGACGCTGCTCCGGCAGCAAAAATCGAGTGGGGGTGCTTCAGATGAACACCCGTGACCCCCACCCCACAGTGACAGAATCTTCAAATTCAGGCAACCGAATTGTAAACCCAACCCCAACCCATTTCACGAGTCAGAAAATAGACCTCTCCTGCAGATTACCACGAAATTCAATTTCGAACCGGCTGCGTTCACACTGCATATTTTATCAAACCGTCCCGACTTCTAGTAGAAGTTGACAAAATTACGCTTGCCTACGATGTGGCCACTCGAGGGACTTTCCTTCTTATCGGTGGTTGGTGGTTAAAGCTGTGGTCAGTCCATTGCCACCGCATTTTCGTATTTTATAGATTGTTTAGAAGTCGCGGTGACTAACTAGCACGCAGTCAACCTGATCGTGAGTACTGTAAAAAAAAGGAAAGTTACAACCACGTCCCACTGCTGGGCACGGGCCTCCCCTGATTTCTGAGAGGGTTTTAGGGCAAGGAAGTGTCCGCCGCGCTGCCCCAATGCGTGTTGGCGAACTTCACGTGTCTTCGAAATATTTTTTTCATATTCCTCAGACATGCAGGTTTCCTCACGATGTTTTCCTTCACCGCCGAGCACGTGGTAAAATCAGCACTTAAAATTGCAATTAACAAATTCATTGGTAACGGCGGGGATCGAACCCGGGTTACTCGCGTTCTAAGATACCACGTCTCACGTCTCGTTCAATGAGTACTGTAGCCAGTGGCGAAGCTAGAGCTCCAAGCTAGGGCAAGCCCAAGATATAAATTGATAAAAATATAGATTGTTGTTTTTAGCAGTTTTATAAAAATACACCAATCTTGATCTGTCTCCACGCTTCAGTTTCATATTCAGTGCTGTCAAGGACGTGTTTAACAAAGCACACAGAAGGCATATCCCTGCTAGATAGATTGTATTACATATCAGCAATTGCATAGCTTCGTTGGCTTTGAAGAAAGCCGTTTGGGTTTGTTTAAGCGAAAGAAAAAAAACATTTACATCCAATACAATACATCAACAAAAGTAAAACACGAACAAAGTACAAACAATGTACGAGTATAAATTAAAAAAAAATTATTTACATTCTAATGGATGAGAGATAAGATAAATGGAATCGTCTCGCTTTCTTATGGAAAGATTTAATTACGTCCACGTAAAATGTTGGTGAACGTTTTAATTGTACTGTAACTGTTTTTAATTGCGATAATTGATAAGTCTGAAATACACTCTTAACCTTGTGTAAAATACTCAACAAAATTTAAAGATTTCCTCTCCGATTATCACTTTAACACACTTCAATCCATCACAAGGAACACTATTATCCTCCATTTTCATTAAAAATCTTTAAAAAAACATAAATTTTGAACTCGTAATATTAAATCGCTTAAGATAAGTACACAGAGTAAATAAACATTGAAACGTGAAATGAACTTGCAAACGTATTGCCCGCGCGCCTCCGCATTTAACAAATTTATTCCCAAAAGCCTGGCTTTAAATCTCTATACTAATTGCTATTTATACGAGTACAATCGTTGTTATATTTTATTATAGAAAATTTTGTCATAGGTTAGAAAGAGAGCGATCGTCTTCCCGAAAGCCCCGTAAAAAGCCCACGCGAGCGAGGGAGACAACTATTAGCTCTATTAAAACTCATTTTTTATGACAGCAGCAGTATTCGACATGTGTCGAACAGTGGAGTGCGCGGGAAATTCGAAATAGCTTGAAACATTTTATGAGTTATTTGTTAGTTGATATTATTGATTGATATTATTGATTAATTCAGGTTTAATAAGGCAAGCCCGGCTTTTCGGCTTTAATGGAAGCTTCGCCACTGACTATAGCCCATATTAAATAAAATATCGTCGTTATGATGAATCGACATGCAGATGTGTCGTCACTTCAGTATTTGGACGGCATAAATCGTCATTAGAAGAAAGGGGCTTTGGTTTTTGTTGTAATATTAATAATAAATTAATTTCCCCAAACCGAATTTCGATCACGGCGGCCAAGTCTCGAATTAGACTAGCCATCTGCACAGAACTGGATTATTCTGCCGAAGTTTATGTATTCTGTGCCTAAGTGTATCACGCGAGCCGTTGTTCCAGCGCGATCAAACGCAGGAACAACGGTTAACCAATTAGCAAGCGGGGGTGAAACACCACCAAATCAATAAATAATTTTTGGTCTGATCCGGGATTCGAACTCGGGACCTCGTGATGAGCATTTACGAGCACCAGATCAACGAAGCAGTCTTGTTACTTAGCGTAACAAACATAACAGCATTATACCTACCGCCATCACACAACGGAGTTGTAAGCGAGGTGTTTCCCCAGTCGAGGGATGCAACTATTTAAGGTTGCCAACTTTTATATCAAATATAGTAATTTCGAGACTAATATCTATAAAATATAGTAGATGTAGTATATTTCAATTGAATATTGTACTAATATTCGTACTTTAAACGAATATCTTGTGATAACTCCATGACTTGACGCTGTTAACAGTTTTTGTTAACAGCATTTTTTTTTTGGGTGAAGTGGTCGTGGTCCTTGGGCTTGGTCCTTCCCCGGTCGGCTCGATCGGGGAAGGACCAAGCTCTCACAGAATACCAGCGTGAAATAGTAGCTTAATGCTGCTGTATTTCGTATGGTGAGTGTAGAGAACCGGAGACCCTTTTTACTGGAAATGAGGCATTCCATCTCAGTCCTCACGGGTGACAACGCATCTGCATTTTGATTTGTAATGGAAGATAGATGTAGATGTCTATGGGCCGCAGCAACCACTTACCATCAGATGGACTGTGTGCTCGTTTGTCACCCTATTCTATAAAAAAAAGACAGCATCACGCCATAGTCATATAAGTATTATAATATAGAATGGTACAATATTACATAGTAAGGTTGCCAAAGCTTATAAGTCAATGGCTATAAATACACCGCACCTCAGCCAAAGAAAATATACACTACGCGAACACTGCCTCAGCGTAGCCCTATCATGTATAACTTGGTCTGTTCTTCATTACTGGTTCACTGGCTTCGCGCACTAGCGGTATAGTTTAGTAGGTACTTACTCGTAGTATTGAGACCCTTGGTATATCATATGAGAAGATTTTTTTTCAATTTCCATTAAACGATGTTCCGTTGTAGATCTTGTAACCATATTGTTTAATATACTTAAATTACGAGTACCGTAAACTGTCACCATTTCGTACAATATCCTTGATTATTGACAACGTCTTTATTTTTATTGATGGTGTTACAAGTGGCAACATAATGAACCAGTGTTATGTGAATAAGCATGACTATCTTTTGGTTTCTAAAAACCTTCGGAACACGGGATGGGTTACTGGATGAAACTGCACGGTTCAGTCGCCTGCATACGACTACTAACAAAAGCGTACGTATCCTATAGGTTTTACAGTATGTTTTCTCCGCAGTATGAACACTAAATCAAAACAAAATGGAGGGGAGACCTAATAGACATTCCCTTTCCTCAAAATTTCTTTCACTCTTATGTGACATTCATATAGTATAGCCTTCATCCTAACTACACTCTACTCCTAAATGAACAGGCAGAACAACACATACTTTTAAAAACAAAAGTTAGAGGACCGGAAAAAGATGACAACATGACTTAGAAACTATAGATACAGTGCATCATGTCTTAATTGGTAACTATTCTGGAATAAGGTTTTATCATAAAGAAAATATCACACTAACACAGGTACTAGCTAGAGTTGTTAGCTTTTTTCATATCAAAGAGGCTATTCATTGAATAAAACTAAATTTACGGATTTTATCGCGTTTATTTAACTGATTTTACTTATTTTTTATTCCCGACGTTTCGGGTGCTTTACAGCACCCATGGTCACGGCGGGGAATGCCCCCGTGACCATGGATGCTGTAAAGTCCGTAAATTTAGTTTTATTCAATATGTAGTGTTCGCGTAAATTTAAAAAATCATTAAAGAGGCTATTATCTCTAAATAGTACATAGCAAAAAATTACAAAGAATATAAGTATTACCCATGTTACAAAAGAAAATGGCTCTGTAAACAGTAAAGTTGATGAAATTTAAAAAAGGAAAGAATAATGTTTATAATTCTTAATATAGTAGACAAGTATATATATAAAAATAAAAATAAAATTCGAGTTGACAGTAGGTGCGAAATATGAAATGTTGTGACGTTAAGTAAACGGAACTGTCATTTGAATATACCATACCGAGTGCCGTTCAGAAAGATTTTTTTTTTCATTTATTATCGCAGTACTAAAATAAACTAAAATGATTATAGTTTATCTTTGAAACCAAGATAAAAGTTGGGTTCCGTTTTACGCATAAATATGTAGTGTCGTGTCCTTTTAGAAATATAGGAATTACAGGTCAAACTATTACATTAAAAAAACTTGTTTAAAGTTAGCAACCCTAGTACTAGCATTAAAACTTATCGCGTTAAGTTTAAAGATGTAATATTTAATACAAAAGAAATTTCCGCAAAGTAACGCCTGATTCCATTAATATTAAAACTTGACATTTTTGTAAACAATAAATATTGTTTAATTCTTAAAGTATGATATATTTATATAGAATAGTAACGTTGTTGTTGATTAATTAAGAGAAACACATGTTAATATAATTGTTTAATACAGTTACAGACCTGCAAAGAAAATGGCGAAATTTGCGCGACACGTTCAAACGACAAATAGCGATCGAAAAACAGATACGCGAAGGGAAAAATATTAAGAAGAAGACGTATGTTTACTTCAAGTACATGCTTTTTCTGTTACCGCACCTTCAGGCGGCGGAAGAGGAGGAAAAAGATGAAACTGTGTCGCCTCTTCTCGATGAATACTTGGGTCGCAAGCGAAGCATCCATCCGTCAACGAAGGCGCGCCGGCAAGTCATGCGGCGTCACGCGAACGACGTGGCAAACGAATCAGCAGTAGCAGAGGTGGCACCGCGCGCCTCGCTCGGCACAGGTTGCACCATCGACGAAGACGAGCACTTCCTCATGTCACTTATACCCTCCTTCAAGAAGATGACGGACGACGAAAAGCTTACCACCAAAGTAGAGATATTAAAAGTTATAAAGCAAGTGAGACGTAGATCGGAACGACACGGATCAGAACGACGCGCACCAGCGTCCCCTGCGGCCGATATACTCAATATCGATGACTATAAGGAAGAGCTGATTCACGTAGAAACAGACGAGCTGTTACAGTCTGGCGACGAGTATGATAATGCAATGAAATATGACAATAGTGAAGAAAGTTCTGAATAGTGTTAACAATAAATTCAATCTTGGGACTGATATCAAATCTAAAGATAGTGAATTTATTTTTGCTATGTATATGTTTTTTTTTTTTCAAATAATGTAAATGTCGTATATTAATTGTTTCTTAAATACATGACGACTACTCCAACTTCAATCTTTAATTATAATCATAATATAATCAGAAATGTCGCTAAAATTCCTCTGACTAATAGTGACTGAGACAGAAGATATCGGTTGAACTAACGTCCCGGAATAAGGACAGTCGTTTTTTATATAGAATAAGGGTGACGAACGATGTCCGAAACGTGCCACATATACATCTACATCTATACTCTATTGGGAATCAAAATGCACGCGTTGTCACCAGTAAAGACTAAGATGAAATGCCTCCTTTTCTGTAAAATGAGTCTCCGGTGCGCTACACCCACAATACGGAACTTTCACGCTGGTATTCTGTGAGAACGTGATCCTTCATTTGTGCTACAACTATAATATACCTGCGGTATGGCTCTATCACGTATAGCGCAGCAGCGTCATCAGTACGAAAAGTCTGGTGCTGGTGGAATCGTCATTCCCCCGCCAAGCATGGCCATTAAGGGAAATCCTAACCACATCTAAATTGGACTCACAGCAACATTGTTTCACTTTCATTGTCTCTACAGACATACCGTTAGTACCAAACCGAATGAAAAGTATTAACCAAAATAACAAAATATTTAAATTAGCACGTATATGGGTAGTTATACATTGTGTATAGATTGGGATAAATCTACATTAAAGATATTCATTGGCAGTACTTACTAGCATCCTTACTTGCCTTTTACCATATATTCTAAATCAGAGAAAGAACGAAAGTGTATTTGCTAAGCTAAGATCTGATCCAACTTGTGATAAATAACATAGCGATTTATTGGCTAATAAATAATGAATTCGGTTCTCAGATTCAGGTATTTTACCTGTTTAGATTTACAACAAGGCTATTATCAGGCGAAACTGGCACAAGAAAGCCGATCAGAACATTATCAATTAAAACACCTCCAAATGAGGCTCAAAAATTCTTGCAGTGCTTTTAGTAGAGTCATGTCAATTGCTATGTCAGAATTAACTTTCGATAAGTGTTTTATTTATTTGGACGATTTAATAATTTTTGGAAGATTCTTAACTATTCACAACCAAAATCTAGTAGATGTTTTCGAAAGACTGAGAAAGGTAAATTTAAAATTGAATCATATTAATTGCGAATATCTGAAGAAGGAAATTCTGTATCTTGCTCATTTAGTGTCTGCCAACGGTGTCTCACCTGATCCAGAAAAGACCCCAGTTTTGGAGCATTATCCTGTCCCTCAAAATGTAGACGAAGATAGAAGATTTGTTGTATTTTGCAACTACTATAGGAAATTCGTACCCTCTTTCGCACTTGGACTGCAGAGTTTCAGAACTCGTTTAATTCTCTAAAAAATAAATAATTAAAAAAATCAAAAACCCCACTGCAAAAAAAGACAATTTAAAAGTAATACACTAAAAAGATCGAAACAAGATTGAGAATACAAAACAAAATTAAAATAAACTCAGTTGGGGTAACAGGGACACCGGGGGAAGAAAGTAGGGGATCATAACTAGTAAACCGAAGTGCTTATGACTGAACTTTTCTTCAATAAAACAGTGAAGGTGAAATAGTTTGAACGGTTTTCAATAGATATCGTTACGTGACACAGAAACCACAAAAAATGAAGACACGTTTGACAGTTGTAAATTTGACTAGTACAAACTTAGCGCGTTTTTTTGCGAACCAATAGTTTGGTGAAAAAAGAGTGTTGGAAATATTTTGAATGTAATGTAAAATATACGGAGAAAATTGTAATTATTTCTTTTTATTAGCCATTTTAGTTTAAAAACAACTAATATGAGTTTCTTTCGCTTGAAAATCTAAACCTCCAAAAACAATAGCTGGAGTAGGAGGCTCACTATTCACGGTGAAAGAGGAACATATGTTTCTTTTACACCATGTCAGGGGTAACACACATTTTGAATAATTTATAATTACGAGGGCGGCACTGAACTAAAGTGACACAACATTACTATTTAAAATTGTATTTATTGCTTTTCGAAGTATTCTCCGCGAAATTTGACACATTTTTCTATACGATGGAACCAATTATTGAAGCAACCATTACATTCGGAAGTTGGGGTCTCCAAAATGACCGTTTTGTAGGCGTCCACAGCTTCTTCAGGTGATGAAAATCTCTGTCCACGCAATTTATTCTTTATTTTAGAGAAAGTATAGAAATCATTAGGGCTTAGGTCGGGACTGTACGGCGGATGGTCTAATAATTATATGTTTTAATCAAGAGGAATAGTCGTAACATGGCCGGTTTCGGAGACAAACGTGGCCACCATTTTTTTGCAACACTCCGTGAATGAACAGTTTTTGTTAGCTTTAACTCATTTTCGAACACCCAAACTCGGGACTAGTTTTTTGTTTCGGGTTCGTACGCGTATATCCAGGATTCGCGTATATACAGCATTTAAGGATCCTGTGTGGAATCTTTCGAGAGTTCTGACGCACCAAGTAACGCGAGCCGTTTTTTGCTTTTCACAGAGCGAATGCGGTATCCATCGGGAAAACAACTTTTTTACACCTAATTGTTCATGCAAGATTATTTGTATTTGACTCGTGTCTAAAGTTGCCTGAATTTTGCGGTATGTCACATGTCTATCTTCCATAATCAGCTTACGCATAGCATCATTGTTTTCTTGGATGACTGCAGTTTTTAGACGACCTTGACTGGGATCATCACTGGGCTTGACACGTCCACGTTGAAATTCAGTAAACCAGCGATAAATTGTGGTTTTAGATGGGGCTTCATCATCAAATGCAGAAATCATCCGGTCAACACACTGTTTTTGTGTTAAACCACTTCGAAAGTCATAATAAATCATCGCTCTTGAATTTTCTCGAGTCAATTCCATTTTCTCAACGACTAAACAAGTTTGACAAAACCTTGTGACAAGACCGAGAATCTTTTTTAAATAAATAAATGGTATTCGATTTTTAAAACCAAGGAGTTTTCAATTAAAAAGATTTTAATATGACAGGAACAGTGGAAATATTCCATTCCTGATACTTTTAGTGCAGCCTAATATAGGTAGATTAAATGAAAAGAATTGACTGACTGTTTTGTATCTACTACAATTTTAAATTATAACTAAACTAGAAATTTCCCGCATCTTCGTCCATGTGTAACTTAACTATTTTTGTGTTAAATATTTTTTTAAATTGGGCTTGTAGTTTTTAAGTTACCTAAATCATAACAAACAAATAAAAAATCAAACACTGTCCCTCTTACCCCATGTGAGGGGGAAGAGGGACGTTTACTTAATTTTGCTTACGTCAATATCGTCGTAAGAACCGATAATACGTAATGACATTTTGCACGTGTGAACCTATTACATAAAGGCAAGTTTTGTTTGTTTCAAAGATCTTAAAAGACTTAAGCTGTTCTTCCTAGCAGTCAAAATATTTACCTACCGTAAAGTATGTTCCTCTTACCCCACCTGACCTTATAAACAAAGTAAACTCTACTTCGGTTTAACAGACTATATGAACTGAAAACCTAAGTAAAATATTAAGTTTACTAGCAAGCGGAACCCATTATCTTTCGGTTTGTAACTTTCAATGGGCCCCGCCTGCTACTAAACTTAATATGATACTTAGGCTATTTTACTTAGGTTTTCAGCTCATATTCTGTTAAACCAAAGTAGAGTTTACTTTGTTTATAGTTTATTTAAACTTTGTTTTCTATTCTCTATCTTGCTTCGATCTTTTTTAGTGCATTACTTTTAAATTATCTTTTTTGCAGTCGAGTCTTTGATTTTTTTAATTATTTATTTTATTTAAGACTTTTTAGTGTGCCTATCTTTTGTGTTAAGATTTTTGACGATTTTTCAATAACAATGCGACTTAGAAAGGTCGCTGTATATTTCCTGTGTTTATTTATTACATTTTTCTTCAAAACTTCAAAGTATACGGTTCAAAATGTATTGAAAACAATTTAAGTATTTGTCATTGAGTTATAATGTACTACGTACTAGAGAAGCTATTCCAAACAAAAATTGTGCGCTACTCTATGTCTTCGCGCATGCGCGGTAATAGTAGAGTCGCGCATGCGCAGTTGGTATAAACGCGCATTGCGCTTGCGCGGTCAGTTTTTGTTATTATAGATTATACGTAAGTAGAATGGTCAGTATGTAATAATTGTTTATTTATATTGTATTTTTAATTATATCGAGTACAATTTTTTAAATTGTTTTTTATTTTGTATATGTGCTAATTTAATATAATATTACATAATATTATGTCAGAATTACATTTTAATGATATTGTTATCTGAATATTTTAAAAGGTATCTATGTCAAATATAAAAAAAACGTACTAAATGTATGTTTAACAAAACTTATTAACATAAAATTTAAATTACAAATATATTTATTTAAATTAGAATCATAAATGTTGTAAATAATCGTTCATAAATGCTGGGCACGCGAGAGTTAAAAATGGACGAATTTATTCCACTTTGACTTTGAAGTGGAAACCTAAAAATAAAATAAAAAGAATAATAAGTAGATTTAAACATGAAAAATTTAGCTTAATTATAATAACTTATATATTTCTACAAAAAAAATGTGTAGTATAATAATATATTCGTCCTAAACTTAAGTACCCACAGAAATGTCGCATGTGAACATATTAATTTCATAATCTATATTCAATGATACGAGATGGCGTCTTAGGAATAATTTGCTTTATTATTAATTTATAATACTTTTTTATTGAATAAGTATCTTATTAACCGATGAAAAGTAATTCCTTGGTTTTTACTGACATTTCTTGAATTATTTGTGCAATATCTAAGTACACAAGACGGCATATTTTTATCAAGAGATTTTTTTTAAATCAACACAACACGTGACAACTCTACAAGCGCCTAGCGAGTGACTGATTAAAGTGCAGTGCATGCACCGCAGTTGAGTGGAACAGAGTAGCTGAATGCAGTGTCTCCTCTAGTACGTAGTACATAATAGCTCAATGGTATTTGTTTTGTTTTAAATGTTATTGAGTGACGGATATTAATAAATATTATTTTTTTCATATAATAGCCTAAGGTCCGACACAAACATTGCACATTTTATAAACCAGTTATTAAAAACTTTATAAACCAATCTATAATTCCCAATTAAATTTAACCATACAACTTATATTCGATATTCGATAGGTTTCGTTAATTTATTTTTATAAACGTGTTACTATTTTGCGACAAAATCCGCCATTTTGTTTATTTAAGACGAATAAAACGATACCTTAATTGTTGAAATCCATTCAGCCGTTTGGAAGATTGATACAAGGTAATGAAGAAATTTATAAACATACAAGATCGCGCGAAAAGCATAACCCTTCCTTGACAGTAATAAAATCTAAGTAATAAAATCTAATCTAAATCGGGTAAACACACTAATAACACCCCCAATACTTCAATACCCCGATTTTTCTGAATCAAATGAATTCGTATTGCAAACGTCTGATGTAGCTGTAGGAGCAGTTTTGTGTTATAAAAATATGAAACTAATCGCATACACTAGTAGGCCATTAAATAAAACAGAAAAAAAAACCAGTTATCCATAAAGAATTGATATTGATATCATCATTACAGCCCTTCACATGTCCACTGCTGAACATAGGCCTCCCCCAAGGAATGCCACAAAGCACAGTCCTGAGCCACCTGCATCCATTGACTTCCTGCATGAGTTACCAGGTCGTCACTCCATCTAGTGGGGGGTCGCCCTACACTACGCCTACCGGTACGAGGCTGCCACTCGAGAACCTTTCTTCCCCATCGGTTATCGGTTCTTCGAGCTATATGGCCGGCCCATTGCCACTTCAGTATACTAATCCGTTGGGCTATGTCGATCACTCAGGTTTTACTGCGGATATCCTCATTTATGAGTCTATCACGCAGAGAAACTCCGAGCATAGCCCTCTCCATAGCTCGCTGAGCGACTGGCAATACGCACTGGTTGTACACTTTAGTTTTCAGAGATTGAGGTATAACTGACGAGAAGATGATATTGATATATTTATTTGGAATGAAATATCCGACGTGGTGGAACCACTTTATAATTCTGATAATTATTGTTTAGATTTAAAATATAAGTTACAGATAACCTTAAAAAATGCAAGACATAATTTGACAGCCTCTAAAGAGATAAGGAAAAAAATGACAAAACATGTAGGTAATCCTCTATTCTATGATAAGGATGAACTTATTTTAATTAAACACGAATTTGCTTATAAATTAGATTGTATTTTTGATGGACGTTTTACAGTCTTGGAAGATTTAGAAACAAATGTTAAGATTCTTAGAAATAAGTAGATAATAGTACATAAGGATAGAACAAAAAGGTTTATTAAGTAAGAAATGTTATAAAAGTAAACTATAACCTGTTTGTGCTTATGTGTTAAGTATGCTGAACCTTTTTTTCTCTTTTCTTATCCACCCCGAGGTGAAGTATTGTTTTACATTGTTAGTATAAGTTATTGATTGTTGTGGGGCAGTCACCAATAAATTTCTTGATCAAGCGCGCGTGTTTAATTTAAAACCTCACAATATTACAATTGCAACGGCCTACGCGTTTCTCTGTATCGCTGAGTGCCGCGGGTTCGATTCCCCTATACAAAAAAATATTTTTATCACCTAAGAAATGATTGTTTCAGGTCTGGATTTTTGTATATTATGTATGCAAACGACTTCAGGATACGGGAGAAAAAGTTGAAGTTGCTGAAGTGACGTTTTCATAAACTTAACTCTTGTAACGCAATAGCATTAAGTAAAATAAAATTATGTTGTGGGTGTTGTCTGCTGGGTAATATGAGACTCCGACTGAACAGCAGCACCGTGGCGTGGCGGTGCGACCATCATTTTTTTTGTTTGCATTTTAGTTGTATTTTCTTTATATTAAGCATTGTGTTGTTTTTGACGAATAAATCATTCATAATATTTATTAAAACGCTTTTTAGCTTTGCGTGTATTTATCTATCTATGTAACGAAATCTTTTATTGTAATTTTCACCAACTTGTAGACGGCCGACTAACTCTTTTTTTGGTTAAAAATTACGAGTATAGATTTTCACACGCGTATTTTATAACTTTATCCCAGTATCCTAATCAGGATCACCAGGGTAAAATAAAATAATTATCAGGATCAGCACATCTCATGATCAATGCGTGTTGTTTAAGTATTTTTAAACCCTTATTTTATTTAAATGAGTTGTAGTTTACCTATAATAAATAAGATAATATCTGAGTTGCTACCTTGAGCGGTGCGACGCACACGTCGTGTGAGCTTTCGCAACGCACGCGCTTGGCGACGTGCGGCGGCTGGTGGGTGGCGCGGCGGCGCGGCGGGCGGGGCGGCGTGCGGGGCGGGCAGCGGTGGCAGCCACTTGCTGCGGGACTCGCGCTGCCAGCCGCCGGGACGCTGCCACTGAGGTGTTCCCGGCGCTAGCGATGGGTTGTTATATAATTTATAAATATAGTGACTTGTTTGGTTTTTACTATCGTTAACACGATCTGTTTAAGCAAATGCAACGTTGTAACTTTGCGGATAAGTAATAGACATTTATGAGGGTTATGTATAACTATCTATACCAGGCGTATTCAAAGTAAGGGGTGCGCCTCCCATGGGGGACGCAGAGACCTGCAAAGAACAGTAAATGGACGTGACATTTGTGTAAGCTAGTAAGGTGTATAGGCCAAATATAAGGGCCTAATTTGTTGTAATTCTCTCGGAGTGAAGCCAAATTAACTTACGTAGTCTTTAGTACGTAGGTAGGTTTTTATTTTACGTATTAAATTAACTTAGTAGGTAGCGTATGTCTTTATTAGGCTTCTCATCCTTATAATTGATCCCATACTGATTATTGCTGGTGAAATTACAGGCATATGAGACGTTCCACCTTCTCGTCTTTTGTCTTCGTTCTTCGTCGTGACAGGTAGAATGCAATGCAACTTAGTTACCATATATAACTTTGCGAACTATAGATTATAAAGCTCATGCTCACCCGGTGCTGGAGGTGCGCGCGCAAACCGAAGCGGCGGCAGCAGACGCCCGCCCGCCGTCCGGCCCACATCACCCCACATGTCTCTCGACAGCATCGCCGAGAACCACGAGCACGCAGACAGCTCGCCGAGCTGCAACGTGCAGCCGCCGGGCACGCTCACCACGTCCACACCGCCGGGCACGCTCACCACGTCCACACCGCCGGGCACGCTCACCACGTCCACACCGCCGGGCGCGCCCGCGTCTTCCGGGACAAAGGCCGTCACTCGGGGCGGCTCCGGTGACAGCACGCCAAACGGGTGCGTGAAGTAGTACAGGCACAGGGGTCGCCCCTGCAACCGCGGCTACCTTGAGCTACTGTTTTGAAGAAGAAGTTGAACGGATTATCATTGCTTTAAAATCAGATAAAGCTGTTGGATGGGATGGTATCTCCACTGGTCTTCTGAAAAAGTACAAAGACATCCTGGTGCCTCCTCTGACATTTATTATCAACTTGTGTTTGACGGCAGGTGTTTTTCCAACGGTGCTGAAAAAAGCTGTGGTTCATCCAATTTACAAAAATGGCGATCAGAGTCTACCTAATAATTATCGTCCTATATCAATACTGCCGTCAATCTCTAAGGTTTTTGAAAAAATTATAAACTCTAGACTAGTGAACTACCTTGAGCAAAAGAATTTATTATCAAATGTCCAGTTCGGTTTTCGTGCAAAAAAATCAACATCAGATGCTTTACTTTCGATTACCAACTACATTACGCAAAACTTAGATAGGGGTAGAAAGAGTTTAGCCACCTTTCTCGATCTAGAGAAAGCTTTTGACACCGTTTCAATTCCATTGTTGCTCCAAAAGCTTGAGGATATTGGCGTGCGAGGCTGTCAACTTACATTATTTTCTAGCTATCTCAGTGGCCGATGTCAGTGTGTCAAGTTGTCTAATAGTGTCATCAGCTCTGATTCTCCTGTCTTTTTTGGTATTCTTCAGAGCAGTATACTTGGTCCGACCCTATTCCTCATTTTTATAAATGATTTGTGTAACCTTAATCTTCACAATGGCAACATAATTACATTTGCTGATGACACAGATCTCCTTTTTCTGGAAGCACCTGGGAGGATGTTTTCCGGCAATCTCAGGTTGGGTTTAATATGGTATGTGCTTGGCTTAGGAAGAAGTTATTAACTCTAAGTTGTAAGAAAACTAAATATTTGCCTTTTGCAATCCGTACCTCATCCTTACCTGGTGACGCGCATAAAATCATTGCTCACTGTTGTGCTAATTCTAACACTTTAGATTGTTCCTGTCCCGTTTTAGAGAAGACTAATAGTATCATATTATTTGACAACACCTTAACATTCCGTTCTCATATTAAAACACTATGTGGTAGAGTGCGTAAATTGATTTTTATATTTAAAAAATTAAGACATGTTGCTAATAGAGAAGTCCTAAAATTGGCCTATTATGCTTTGTGTCAATCTTTATTAACATACGGAATTGAAGTCTGGGGTGGTGCAGCCAAAACACATATTATTGAACTAGAGCGTGCGCAAAGATCACTTTTAAAAGTTATCCATTTTAAACCCTACTTATATCCAACTTTAGATTTGTATAGAATAAGCGAAGTTCAACAACTTTTTGTGCTACATATAGTTTTAAGACAACATACAATTTCAAAAATAACTCAAAAGGAACATTGCCGCCGTAATCATCTGGTAGCTCAGTCAGTGCCTTTCTTCACATCTTTTGCTAGGAAATTCTTTACTTTTTTTGGGTCCGTATTTATATAATAAATTACACCAAAAATTATGTATTTATGAAGTCAACAGATGGTCATGTAAAAATAGACTCGTGGAATATCTTCATACTCTTTCATAAACAGATACTGAACTCCAAATTATCTCATAAATATTCACAGACATACATGCAGACATGCTAACAGTCACAAACTTTCATACTTACGCTACAAAAATACGTGGTTTTTTTTATTTTATTTTTCTCTATATAATATTATTTCTAACCATAACATAAGTGATATCCTTATAATATTATACTTGTTGCCAAGTAAATTCGGAGGGGGGGGGGCCTGGTGACCCGTAATACGGGTCTTTGAACCTACACGGGCACCAGTCTCCCACGAATAACAAAATATTGTTAAAATAGAGATGTAACACTAATGTATCTTCCATGTCGTTTGTGGTGAGAAATAAATAAATTATTATTGGGGTATCTATATAATTTTCTCACCTGGTTGGGTTCTATAAATATATAATTATAAATTAAAATGAAAAGATAAATGTACATAAATATCAATAAAATAAAATAAATACAAAAACTACATAAATAAATAAGATCCAACCAGATGGGAGCCCTCGGCAGGGGAGACCAGACGGCCGAGGGTTAGGGGGAAAGGGAAAGAAACCGGCGGACGATGCGGGCGGTATCGAGGAGCACCGCCTTCTGCATTTGAGCCCGGAGCGGTCCGTCACGGAGTCCCAGTCGCCTCAGATGACCCGAGAGGCTGACTGGGATTAGCCCATTCAGAGACGACTACAGGAATAATTTCGGTCGACACACCACCCCACATGTCGGTCATCTCGTGAGCCAGGTCCAGATATTTTGTTTGTTTATCTGTTTCGGCTTTCACGAGGTTCTCGTCATACGGAATGGTAATGTCGATCAAAAATATCCTTGACTGTGCCCGGTCCATCAGCACAATATCAGGCTTATTCACAAGAATAGTCCTGTTTGTGATGATAGCCCGGTCCTAGTAGAGCCTGGCGCGGTCATTTTCGAGCACGGCTTCCGGCAAGTACTTGTAATACGGCAATTTCCGGTCCACGAGACCGTATTTCAGAGCGAGCTCCTGGTGAAGAATTCTGGCTACTAGGTTGTGCCTGTGCAAGTTTTAGAGTTAGAAAGCACCGAACAACCGGAGATGACATGCCTAAGTGACTCCCCGGGATGGCGACAAGCTCGACAGACGTCGACAGTGCCATCCTTTAGGATGTATCTCCGATAGTTGTTGGTCTTAATAATAAATTAAATTTATTACTGTTCACGACTTACTTGCCCTGTTAGTTATTCTTCGGACGGATATAAAAAGTTTATTTAAATGTTATTCCAACCCTTCTTTACGTGGTAGGACCACGCTGCAGCTATTTTATTAACGTCGCACAAATGGGTCAACTCGACTGGAGAAAAACCGTGCTATCATAGAATACAACGTAAAATAGCATTTAGTACGGTGAGTGTAGAGAACCGGAGACCCCTTTTACTGGAGAGGAAGCATTTCATTTTAGTCCTCAGGAGCGATAATGCATCTGTATTTTAGTTCTTAACTAAGAATAGATGTGGATGTCTACGGGTCATAAAAACCACTTACCATCTCAGTTGTTGGACCTCACGTTATATTAAATGAAAAATTCTTAGCTTCACAAACTTATAAACATTATGTTGGGTTGCTGATTAAAAATTTTGTAGGAAATATTTTTATTGGAAATTATTTTTATCAACTTTAAGGTATTACATCAGAAATGAATGATTATTATTTATATAACACAAACAAATTTATTTTACAAAATTTAATCGATTGAATTTTCAACATTAGTTTTATCAATTTTCGTCCATATTACAACAATTCTCTCATTTTTATCACTAGAACATAGTATCAGTTTTTGAATATTATTATAATATAATATTCAAAAACTGATACTATAGGCTTATTAAAACTAAAATACGAAACGAAAAATTTAATTCAAATCTAAGCAATTTATCTTGTATCTGAGCGTGACAGTCACACGAGTTCGGTGCTGTTCCCCCTCCCAAACATGCCCAACGTGCCTAAAGAAGTTTTTATTTCAAAAAAAAAATTGGCAAATTATAACTTGCAGTAAGCAATAAAACTCTAGCATTAATCAAGGGAAAGAAAAAGAAAACGTATGCTCGCGCAACCTCGGTGATGATTTTGTCAGATTCGTAGTCTTTGTTCATAAACAAACGACTGATTACATTTGATGTTTTTCTCAATGTTTGAACAACAAGCACTGAAGAAGTTTTGTAAACGCACTTGCAAAAAATAATATCAACTACACTTTCTACTGTAGCTGCACACTTGTGTCTTTTTTGTTAAAGTGTTAGCAAATTAATTAAATCTATAGGTGTATTTTTGATTCCTATACAAAATGAGTCTGTGGTATCGATAAATATCCATATTACGATTCGTGCATATTTTGATTAATATTTTTTTTTATTTTTGAGGTATAAATTTTATACTTTATTTAAAACATGTACACAGATCGCACCTTCATGTCCTCAGTGGAGGTAGAAGCATCCGAATTGCGATAATTCATATTTGATTTTCATTAAAAATAAATTCCTCTTCTGAAGATATTGAATTAAAAACCGAGATGTAAAAGAACGATGATCATAATTGTAAAAATTGTTTTTGCGGGAGAGGTATTACGTGTTCCCAATACTTATAAAAATACATATAATTATTCGTCTACGTGTAAAGTATCACACCAAAGCTTGGGCAAGGCAGGAGCGCGGCGCGGCGAGGCACTGCCGCGCGACCTGACCGCCGTCTCCGACCGCGCGGGAAACTTGCAGGGCCGGCTGGCAACACTTTTAACAATAACACAAACTCAATATGCTATACATACTCAATAGACAAAAAGGAAGCATGAAGAAAACGAATTTGGCTTTATAGTTGTTTGTTCGTAAGATTGTTATTCCAATTATTACATTTCACTTGACAATTATCGTTCATCTATCTGAATAAACACTAGGTACTTATAAAAAATTTATACCTTGATTAAAACTACTTTTATGGATTTTATCGCGTTAAATTTTTTTTCCGTAAAAGTAGTATTAATCAATGTGTAGTGTTCGCGTAAATATAAAAAATTTATACCTCTTCTAGTTTACCTGTCTATATCCAACTGAAGTCAAATGCCACAAAAGCCAAACGACTTGCTATTAATCCTTATTGGAAATTTTGTTGAAATTTCCTAGAGAGCTACATTTAACTAAGTAGGGCACATTTTATAACGTATTCGTTCGGGGCAATGCACGGCAGTAATCATTTTTATTTTGAATCTATATCACAACCTTGATCACTGTACAGTTTTTCCAAGAACTAATTACTAGTTTAGCAACAAGATATTATGTTCAAAACATCTTTTAGTTTTATTTTATTATTGGAGAACATATTATGTGATATTTTTAGAAAAGAATAGTATAACTTATATTCAACATTGATAGCATGTAATTCTTACTTAAAATCATTTTCTTATTTTTACCACCGGTTTGGAAAAAACCTTTCTCCTGGAAAGAACCAGCAAG